CCCTCCCCCCCCCCCCCCCCCCCCCCCAGAAACACCTGTTACCTGTAAGGTTTCACTTGCATAACATGATATGACAGTGCTTTATCATTAGTCCAGTAATGGTAGCCCCTCCTTTTGAGTTCGAGCCGTGGAAACAACCTCTTGCAAAAATGCATGGTAAGGTTGTGTACAATAGACCTTTGTGGTCCGGCTCTTCCAGAGACTCCGCACATAGCGGGAGCTTAGAACCCTCCTCTTTTTTGTGCTACTCCTAGGGCAGGAAGAAGATTAGAAAACGTCAAGCATTCTTTTGCTTTCCAAACCTGTTTTTTTTCTAAAGACTGCCTTCTCTCGGCTGGATCTAGGTCCAGCCTACTACGAGGATCCCATATCCAGCAACCCAACCTATACAAAGTGCCAGCCTTGTCTGAACTTATTTCTTGGTGGATTTGATGCATCTGTTATAGAAATTATCACAGGACGTTCCATGAGTATATATTATGTTTATATCAAAGTCCTCAGTTTCTTTGTTAATCATGTATCTGAGTTGTTCACCACCACTACCAACATATCCCGTGACAAGCAGGGTCTGGGATGAGTGGTGTGTACATAGACCTTACTCATACCTTGTGAAGGTAGAGGTTGTTTCTGTTGTACCCTCGACTCAGTACTAGTATAAAAGATGTTTGCTTGATCATTCTTCTGTCACTTTTTGATACGTATCATTTTTTGCATCTCCTTATTTGTGTATATTCCAACTTTTCCTATTCTGTGTCAAATTAAGTTTAGTACCAATTGTAGGATATGTGTTTCTAAGTTGAGACTTCTTTTAGGTCCTCTTTATGATGAATATGTATAATCTGGGAAAACTCTGGTGAATTTGTTGTAAAGTATTAATGCACATGGGAAAATTGTAAAGTAGAAAGGAAGATACAAAATAGTACTGGACTAGTAATGAACTTGACACTTCAGAAACTTTTTGGTCATTCAGTGAATGTGTCACATTTAGGTAACATTCAGTGAATGTATCGACGTTTCGTTAACGATATAGGAGTACTTGCCATTTCAGGGTAGAGGTAAATTTGCTTATATGTATCTTTTATTTCTCATTTTGTATTTGGTACTCGTATTGAACTCTTGATTAATTCAATTTCCATTATATGTAAGGTCCAATAAAGCGTTATTCCAATGGGTACACTAGAAATTCGTATATCATCTACTTTGCTTTCACAACGATATATTCTAAATCCCAACACTTATTTTAACTTTGAATGTTTATTGATAATTACTTTTATAATTCAAAATTGCAATGTTTGTGTTGCAATTAACATTCATGAAAAATGTTTTCATAACAAATATTTTGTTTTTGGAAAATAAATTGAATTTTACTTATTTTTGGTAATTAAGTAAAAAAAATGTTATCTTAATTCTCAAGAGCATTCATATGTAATTTAGCAAAAGTAATAAAAGTGGGAGGGTGTGGCGTGGCGTGGCGGGGTTGGAATGGTAAAGAAGTAGGAGTTGGGGGCGTTAAAGTGTTTGGGAAGATATAATAAACGTAGAACGTCACTTATAAAATATATTTTCCCTACTAAGTCAGGTTAATCATGTGAGATTCTCATTAGAAGGAAGAAGAGTAGAAGACTAACATCACAATTTGAAGGAAAAAATAAAAAATGTAGAAAGATTTACGCTTTACCAAGTGCCATATAGTTTTGTTTATTATAATTTTCTTTTGAAAAAAATTGGCATTAAAAAACCGCTAGATGGATGAAATTTCTCCTTTAACTTGAGATTTGAAGTTTATGCTTAAGCATAATAAATAAATAATATATTTCATATCTTTCGTCAAACTTGATAACTTTATCGCATAACATCAAAATTCAATAATTAAAATATTTATTTTATTGAGTTGGACGCTATTAATTTATGATATATTCATTTTATAGTAAAGCATAGAATGAATATAAAATATAGATCCATTTATTCACGTCTCACTTTCCTTTCTCAAGCACAAATACGTATCTTTGCCACATTTTTTCTATCATTGATCATCACATCGATCACCTCTTACACCTCCATAGTTTTTTATTACAAATAAAACTCGAAAAAATAAATAGAAATATAGATTAAAAAACATCAAATAAAAACTAACTCAAAAAAATAATCAACTAAATAAGAATTTCTAATGAATGTCGCAATATGTTTTGAAAATCAAATCAATTATAATATAATAAAAGAACTTAAAATATGATGGGTTCCTCTTGATTAACCTGTATTTTATGTGCTTACGTTAAGAAATAACGATATTTATTTAAATTTTATTGTTAGTGGAATTAATTCTTTTTTTTTATACAAGAAACTTGAATATGCTATTCTTTCTAGGTTATAAATTAATACGCACTGATGATTCATCATCACTATCTATTTAAATTCTTTCATGTCATTATTTAGCACGTACTTCGATTCATTTTACTTGTCATATTTTATTGTGTATACTCCTTTAAATTAAAAAAAGGTAATGACGCAAACAAACAATTAATTGCATTAAATACGTTACTATGTATTTTCACTCAATAACTATAACGACTTATAAATTACTAGATTTTTCATATTACTCAAATAATTCGAAAGGTAATTTTATAAATTTTCGGATAATGTGTTACTTTATTAACATGTAATAGGTGAGGACAAATTAACACTAAACAAAATTATCATTTTTTTATTTGCATTAAATACGTTACTATGTATTTCACATAACATTAACAATAACGACTTAATAGAAAAACAAGATCAAGATAATGTATATATTATTCAAATAATTCTAAATGCAACTGTATAAACTGCTGAATATTTTGTATTAATTTAACTGTTTAACATGTAATCGGTCAAAATAAATTAACAACAAACAAAATATATAATAGAAAATATTATATTTGCATTATGGTAATATGTATTTTCACTTCTCAATAATGATAACGGCTTATGAAATATGAGTTACTACATATTACTCAAATAAATTTTAAAGGCAAACTTTATAAATTATGCATTGATTGAATACGTTACTATGCATTTTCACTTCTAAAGAAAAAATAATAATGACTTATGAAATTAATACTTTAAAAGGCTCTTATTGCATCAAATTTATTTTTTGTTGATGAAAAAAATAACGATAAATTTGTGTCTTCCTCATAATTGGACTAAAAATAAATATTTTAGTCTAGAGTAACGTAAGAGAGATATAAAGTTACAAAATTGAAATAAGATAATGTTATCACAATTTATTTGGCAAGTACCACAAATAGGTATTTAAATTGTTACTATAGTAATAAAAGTTACTCTAATTTACGTCAACAAAATAATCATGTGAAATTCTCATTGAAAAGTTATGAAATATATTAGCCATATATGAAAATTACCGAAAAAAGAAGACTAACATGCATGACAATGTGAATTTAAAATACACGATATAAGAAAATAAACATAAAAACGAAATCATAGAAAGATTAAGGTTCATTTTTATTCATTTGAATGCTATCGACTTGTCAGATTTTCATATTATAGAAAAGGACAGAATAAATTAAATTAAATTAAAAAAACGTAGACCTGTTTAATCACGTCTCACTTTTCTTTCTCAATCACAAACATAATTTTTTCTATTTTTTTCGATTGTCGTACCGGTCATCTCTACAATCCCCCCCACTCCCCCTCTCACAGTTTAATGGTTTTTCAATATCCATACCTCGTGGATGTAGAGAGTCGAGACTTGAAATATAGCACATCCTTCATTTGAGAGAAGGGACCAAAATACTTTGACTTTGTTATTGGCTCACTCAAAAGTTTTACTACATCATTGTCTATATCTTGGATAAATGGATAATATTATTAGCTACTATATGCTTTATTTTAAGCCGAAGGTCTGTTAGAAACAGTCTCTCTATCTCGAGGTAGAGGTAAGGTCTGCATACACTCTACCTTCCCTAGACCCCACTTATGGGATTACACTGGATATGTTGTCGTTCTTGTTGATAACATTATTAGTTAAATTCTACTACATTTCGTTCTTTGCGTTAACATTCTTCCTAGAAATAACACAAACAGGATTCTTCAAAGGAAAAATAGATATATAATATATTCTTATGGAAACCTTTCCTAGGCAGAAACAATGCTTTTACATATTCAATTTTTTCACAAGATAGATATTATCTGATCTTACAAAACTTAGGAAATTTCCATTGAACTAAACGTCTAGACGTAATTGTCTGGACTCATCTTATCAGAATGAACCACCTTGTCGTTGAATGCATGTAGCAACAGATCACAAACTTTGCGCGAAGATGGCCTTTCAGCAGGTGCAGTTTTGGTGCATTCAAGTGCTATTTCCAGCACCTGAAGTGCAGCACTTTCTTCATTAGGTAACAATGGTTTCAAAACAGGATCAATGAGCTCTTCCCTAACTGTCCCAGACATTTCGATGCACGATTCAACCCACCTCACCATGTCCATGTCTTCTCCGAAACTCCCATCAGTTGGCATCCTTCCACTCACTAGCTCCATCAGTACAATCCCCATGCTATAAACATCACTCTTCTCTGTTGCCTTCGAAGAATAAGCATACTCTGCGAACAAATAAGCAACTTAGTATAAAAAAAATAAAAAACTATTTTCGAATGCTAATACTCGAGAATTCAGGAATGATATATACCTGGAGCAATATAACCAAATGAACCAGCAAGCCACAAGTTTGATTCAGTGTTGTAGGAATTATAGTTATCATGAACGGCTTTAGCCAGCCCGAAATCTCCCAAATGTGCCTCCATGTTTGAGTCTAGTAGAATGTTGCTTGATTTGATGTCCCTATGAATGATCTTGGGTACACAATCATGATGAAGGTACTCAACTCCTTGTGCTAATCCCACCGCTATCTTCAGCCTTGCCTCCCAATCGAGGCATGTTTTCCTCTTGTTATTATTAGCTGGCTGCTTGTGAAGCCAATCCCACACACTTCCGTTCTCCATGTACTCATAAATCAATACGTTGGAACCTTCTCCGCTGTTGTTACAGTATCCAAGTAGCCTCACCAAGTGTCTGTGCCTTATCCTCCAAAGTGTCTTGATTTCTCTTGCAAAGCTTTTGTCTAGCAAGAGATCATCCTTGCTTGGTATTCTCTTGATTGCCACGATCTCTCCGTTAAACAGCTCAGCTTTATAGACAGTTCCTGAACCACCAGATCCGATTATGAAGTCGTTGCTTAGATTATTTGTTGCTTCCATGATGTCATCCCACCTGATATCACGCTTAGCAGCTACACTTGCGAAAAGTGGTCTCTTTTGTCCTTGAGAAGAGCTGGATGAGTAAGCACTATTCACTTCGCTTCCTCTTCTAAAGGCTTCTCGCCTTTGCTTGAAAAAGAGGGCAGCTCCAAGCAACATAAGTATGATAGCCACAGTAGTCGATATCACTGAAATGATCACAACTGTCGAGTTACTTAGTCCTGAACCCCGATTGTTGGACTTAGAGACTTCACAATTTTGTAGAGGACTTCCACAAAGATGTGGATTCCCCGTGAATGCATCAGCTGGCCAATGTGCATACTGTTTGTCCAATTTGCCTTGAAGGTTGTTGTAGGAGAGGTTAAGCTTTCCCAAACTGCTCATTTCACCGACTTGAGGAGGAACTTCTCCGGTGAGATGGTTATGAGATAGATCAAGTGTTTCAAGCTTAGTAAGTGTCCCAACAGAAGGAGGAATTTGACCAATGATGTTGTTGAAACTCAAATCCAGTATGCTTTGAAGATTCTTGAGTTCTCCAAGCTCACTTGGTATTTCACCGGTTAAGTTGTTTCCCGAGAGACGGAGTATATATAGCTTGCTTAAGTTGCCAATGGTAGATGGAATGGGACCAGAGAGTTGGTTTTTGTTGAAATTTAAGATATTTAGGGACTTGAGTTCACCAATTTCAAGGGGCAGAGTTCCATTGAGAGAATTCTCTTCTAGAGATAGCACTAAAAGCTTTGAGCAGTTAAACAATTCTCGAGGAAGAGGTCCCGAGAACTTATTTGAGGACAGCTTAAGCTCACCTAAGAGTGGCAAGTTTCCGAGCCAAGATGGAATTGATCCATAAAGCCGGTTGTTATTGAGATCGAGATGTGTGAGCTTTCTACACAGAGAAAGCTGTGGAGGTATTAAACCAATCAATTCATTTCCAGAGAGATCGAGCAGTGATAACTCACGGATTAATCCCAATGTCCAAGGGATTTCTCCGGTGAAACGATTGTTTCCTAGCCTTAACCTTTCAAGAAATGGTGAATATCCTAAATGGGGTGGAACCTCATGATCAAATGCATTATTTGTAACATCAAACGAAAGAAAAGACGTCGAACTACACAGGGAAACTATACTACCATTCAGTTTGTTATGAGAAAAATTTATTCTTGTCAAGTTTGAAAGATTGATCAGTTCATCAGGAAGATTACCTTCAAGTGAGTTGTTATAAAGCATAAGCTGCTCCAATGCTCGAAGATAACCAAACGTAGCAGGAACGCTACCAGATAGACGATTATCCGCCAAATCAAGGATCTTCAGCTGATGACAGTTTCCCAAACTGGCAGGAATCTCACCAGAGAGATCATTCTGTCTAAAATCAATGAAATTCAGCTCCTTCAGCCCTCCAATTGTAATGGGAATGCGTCCTGAGAATGCATTCCCATAAAAATCGATCATTTGCAATCTGGAGCAATTCCCTATCTCCATTGGTATTTCTCCAGAGAACTGATTCTCATATAGAAACAGAATCTCAAGATTTTCGACCATCCCAATCTCTTTCGGTATATTGCCATGAAAATTATTATGCGACAATGCCAATGTTTGCAGATTGGTTAGGTTTGCAATCAACGGAGAAACTGAACCAACCAATGTGTTGTTGTTAAGTAGGAGATCAGTTAACTCAACCAACTCATACAGCTCTACTGGTATCGAACCATTAAGCGTGTTGTTAGACAAATCAAGCTGCTTTAGTGAAATGCATTCTTTCAACTCCACAGGAATCTCACCAGAAAGTTGGTTTTCAGATAGCATCATGTGTTCCAAACTACTGTTTCGATTAGAACTACATATTGTTTTCGGTATGCTACCCGAAAGATTATTACTAGTCAGAACCAAGAACTGTAGCTGATCCATATTCCCAAATTCTCCAGGAATTTCACCAGTAAGTCTATTACCAGACAAGTCTAAATTCCGAACATTACTCAACTTTGCCAACGACTTTGGTATCGAACCTTCCAACTGATTACCAAGCAAATTGAGATACTGCAGCTCATTCATTTCTCCAAGCTGAGTAGGAATCTGTCCTGAAAGACTATTATTCGCTAAATTCATAACTTGAAGGTTTTTAAGCATAGATAACTCCTCCGGGATTGATCCATTGAGATTGTTAACTGCAACGCTGAACGCAACAAGACTAGAGCAGTTACCAATCTCAGCAGGAATTCCATTTTCAAGATTATTTTCTTGCAGATTCATATTCTCAACCCGCCCGAGTTTTCCCAACTCAGGAGGAATCATACCACTCAAACTACATGAAGCCAAACCAAGAGTAACCAAATTTTCAAGATCACCAATACTACTTGGAATTAGCCCTGTTAAGCCAACATTATCACCAATTCTAAGAACTTGGAGATTCTTCAACAAGCCAATTTCATTGGGAATGGGGCCAGTGAGTTGGTTAGAATAAAGAAGAAGAGATTGTAAAGAAGAAAGATTAGACAGAGTAGGTGGAATGGGACCTGATAATAGATTAGAAGAAAGATCAAGATGGAGTAGGTCATGCAAAAAGCCAAAAGAAGGTGAAATTGAACCACTAATTGAACAATCAGAAAGATTTAATCTCACAACTTTCAATGTATCTTCTTCACATGAAACACCACTCCATTGACAGAAATTTTGATTTTTATCAGACCAATTTGACAAAACATTTTCAGGGTCATCAAGAAATGACTTCTTTATCTCTAACAGAACCTCAAGCTCTGTTTCAGAAAACACATATCCAAGAACCAGTGTTACAACAAAAAACCAAACCAACAATAATTTGTTAAACATCGACATGATTTGAAAGATAATATGAAAACTTGAAGCATATAAGTAAGGTTATTTGACTTATGGCTCTGTTTTTGTTGCATGCAGCAGAAACAGAAACAGGGGATGGATATTTGGTTTCTTGGAGTTTACGTGAGGATTTAATGAAAGGAAAATCTTGAAAAGGGTGAAGAATGGGGTAATTAAGAAGAGGAGGAGAAGATACAACTACTCTTTTTTATGTGAGTTGACTAAATAACTATTCCATTAATGGTGACCGATATGCTACTCCATTCACAAACAGAGAGAGAAAACAGAGTATTATTATTGTTTGTTTAATGTTATAAAGACAAATAATTATTTGAACGATAAGACAAAGGTCAAGCACGGGTCCAAAACGACATCCATAATTATATTCCTGTCATTTCGTCTTCATAAATCTGTCCAGTCAATACGAGTAAAGTAATATGAATGAATATTAGAGGTAGAGCTATTCAAAATCGAATTGAAACTGATAAATGAATATTAGAAGTAGAGTTATTCAAAATCGAATTAAAATAGGTAATGGATTATTGATTTACAAATTTTGATAATTATTTTAATCCTTTTTATTATCAGGTTATCGAATAGTTTGGGATTAATCATAACCGATAGTAAATTAAATAATTATATTTCTATCATTTTGTATGGAAAGTCATTGGCTTAGAGTTTAGTTTCATACTTTTATTTCCGGTAGGTCCTACTTTTGGTTTATTTTGTTACTAAAAAAATGAAAAAGAAGAAAGAAAATGGCATGGGTTTGGGAGCCAAGCCGAAGCCTCGTATTCTATAATGTGACAATGTTTGTTTTTGAGCAAGAGACAATCTGTGAATTCATATGAATTCATGTGCATGATTAATAACTGATAAGTCAATATCTAAATGGTTATGATAAGCTAATATTTTAATGGTTCTATAACAGTTTAGCATATCTATAAATCGATAGTGGATAAGTCGAACAGATAAACTTCAAAACCGAACCGATCGATACGCAATCCTAATTAGGAGTGTATTTTACTAAATTAATCTTATGCTTTGAAACTCTAAATTCGACTATTATTTTACTTTATGTAGCTATTTAATACTCAATCTAATTCATACTTTTTCTATTTCGAAATAATTGAATTGTCTATCTAATTCATACTTCTTCTATTTCGGAATAATTGAATTGTAATTTTAATAAATTTTAACATAAATTTATACCACGTCGAAAGTATTAGATTCAATTAAACATGAACATGACATTAAATATGCCCCTGACTTATATATATCCATAGTGAAAAGAGTTTTTACGCTATCAATATATTTTAATGGGTTATAAACTACTACAAACTATTGTTGCAAGTAACTTAATGGGGAGATAGAGTGTGTGGAGTTGTGGAACAATAGCGGATTCAGAAATTTTACCAAAGGAGATTTGAATAATAAAAGTATAACACTTGAGATCAGTGGCGGATGCAGGATTTTCATCAAGGGTGTCAATGGTTATAGTAAAAAAAATAATAATGAATTTAGTAGGGCTTGAGAACACATGACCTCATGGAGTTTTTGCAACCCCTTAACCAATAGACTAAACCTTCAACTTGTTTCAAGAGGTGTCAATCCATATATTTATATTTATTAAACAAAACTTTGACCTCCATATACAACGTAATTTTCCGACGAAGGAGTGTTGCTCGACACCCCTAGACAAAGGGTAGGTCCCCCTGCTTGAGATTTATTCTTGAAATCTCAAAGTTTTGAACGCCGAAAATATTGCGCGAACCTCTATTCATTGTTAAGAAATTCAAAATCTCTCTCTCTCTCACCTTATACATAGTATAATTTTTATCGAAGAAATTCAGATAAACACTCTCATCTTTCTAAATCCGCGTCTAGGTGGGTGGATGGGGCTGAGGGTGGGGTAGATGGAGATATGGGATTACATAAAAAGAAGATACAGTAGTTGATAATTGAAAATTATGTGTTTTCTTGAAATGGTGCATTAGATGAAAAGGACTTAAGCCTTTAAAGAAAGTGATTGGTTGCATTTCCAAATTTGTTAAATGTTTATTGAAATATTTACAAAGTCAAACATGTCCCTACAATCCATTTGTATGTATACGTGCAAAATTGCAAATGTAACAAACTTCCTAATTCCTCTTTTCTCACTTTGATTATAACGTTTGAATTCATCTGAAAGATTCTTTTAGGCTCTTTTCTACCAAATCCAAGCGTCCTTTTGTAGCCTCTCTACTTTGAATGGTTTTACATCACCGTCTTCTTCTTTTATCCTGACTTTATTGTCTCAATTTATATGATATAATTTTGATATTATATTACGGTTTTCTAAGATGCTAACACAGATTAATAAAGATTGTAGTGGAGTGGTAAGTACTCCTTCATCCTTAATCAGAAGTCTCGGATTCAAATTTTTTTAGATATGAAGTCGCCTTTGTTAGTGTTTTACTTTTGGGGACTTTTCGACGCGATCCCAAAAGCTAACACAAGGGCTGCTATTGCTACGGGAGCTTATTAGTGGAACAAGAAGAGCGGAGATGGAGATATATAGGCTAGCTTTCAAGAATCAAATAATAAAAATCTTTTATTGCAATTATTTGTATGCTCTTTAAATATTTTAAGTTTTCGTTCTTTTGACTTATAGTACTTTTTATTTAATTTCTAAATATGTAAATTATTTTTCTAAAAACTTAAAGAATGTAGGTCTAAATTATCAGTCAAAACAATAAGTTTGACTCTAGCTCAAAATATAAATCGTGTCATATAATTTGGAACAAAAAAGTATTATTAACCATAGTGATAGTTGACTCCAAACGTAGCAATAATTTACTTTAAAAGGCCAACAATACAATATATCAATTCATACCTATAAAAAGCGAATTGATACTACTTCGAGCAAACATATATAACGAGAAATATATTAAACTGAATATATATATATATATTATTTTTTTAAACCGAATATATATTGTAGTTTTTAAAGCTTTTATTATTTTAAATAAATACATAACACATGTTTGCTCGATAGAATAATCTCCCTACTTTATTAATGTTGGAGTACACCTAATCATGTCTTTTCATACTAAAAAGTTTATTCCACTAAAGCAAGATTAAGTAAACAAGATGTCAGCACAAGCCTAACATGTTTAGTTTTCATGTAATATTTTTTCTATTTTTTTTGAGGTAATATGGATTATAATAATACAAGTTTGTATTATACAATTAAACAATTAGACACTTGGCAGATTATATCAACCTGAACTACCAAACACCATTAAAAATAGAATGCACCCTTTGGATAGAGTTAGAAAAATGTAAAATTCCAACTAAAAAGAATGAAGAATTTGTTCATTCAAAATCAACATAACCTAAAATTAAATATTATAATATCTTGCATAAATAATGATTACGTCCAAGTTTTATTGTTGCAATTCTTCAAAGAAAAATAAATTATCATGTTCCTTATTTGTCAAACATTAGAAAATAAATAAGAAACTCCCTTAGTTTTAATTTGTTTTTCTGGTTTTAACTTGACACAAAGTGTTGAAAAGTAAAAAAAAAAAAAACTTGTAATCTTGTTATCTTAAACTAAAAAACATATTCTCCCTTTATCTCATAATACTCGTTCATTTTTTTTGTTACACGTCTCTTAAGAAATCATAAATAAGAAGATGAGAACTAATTTACCTATACCAAAATTAAGAGTGGAGAAACTTTTTTGGAAGTTGGAACGTTACAACGTTCATACTTTCAAAAAGAATTAATTTTAAAGCCAAAATAGGAAATAAATTAATTAATTCTATCTTAAATGGACTGTTAACAACAAATATGAAACAAAAGTGGAGTATTACAATAGAAGAGATTGTTATCTATTTGTTATATTTTACTGTATATTTATGTGATAACCATGTTCATACATTTCGACAAATTGTCAAGCCAAGGTTCGCCTTTAATGTTTTATGTTGTTTGGAGTAGTGTTGTTAGCAATAGTTCAATTATGACTAATCCTTCAAATACTGAAAGAAAAAAAATGAGAAATAGAGCGAATTTAAAAAACATGAATTCAAAACTATTTTTACAAAGAAACAAGCAAATATGTTCATTTATTTGTATAATGTGATCGCATTAGACTCATGAAGTTTCGTGCTCAATCTTAGAGTAACACATTCGCTAATGCACGTAATATATTACGTTTTCTTTCTTTTTTTTAAATATCTTTTTGACAAGTTCCTTTTTATAGATCTAAAAAGTTATGAAGACTATGCTCGAGGGTTTCACCGTCCACAATTCATGTGCAAGAGAGGCACTAGCCTGAGTGAGATCTCTGAGGGCGGCAGTGAGAAGTAGTGAGAAGTGTACCTTCATGCTAGGAGTCGTGTGAGTGGGTGATACAACACCAGTAACAAGCTCACGAGCCATAATTACCTTTTCAAGCACGACAACCACTTCATTTGATTGATCTTATGGTGTCTCGGCTACCACTACTACGGAGGTGTTGAATTATTGATAATTGGTGACTTAATCTATGCAGAGAAGATGAAATGGCAATCAATTTCTATATGTTTTGTCTTCTCGTGAAACACAGGATTTGCAGCAATCTGCAATGCAGTTTTGCTGTCACTGTAAACTTCAACATGCATCTCAATTCCATCCCCCAATTCTTTCATCAGAGTTGTCAACCATACTACCTCAGCTACTGCACTTCCCATACTTCTGTATTCTGCTTCTGCTGAACTCCTAGACATTGTGGTTTGTTTCTTCGACTTCCAAGAAATCAATGAGTCCCCATACTCAACCAAAAACCTGATATTGTCCTTCTAGTATTAGGGCATGAGGCCCAATCTGAATCACAGTATACTACCATAGCATTGGATCTTTTGCTGCTCATCATAATTCCAAGCCATGCTTGTCTCTTGACATATCTGATTTCTTTGGCTGCTGTAAAAACTGACTAAGAGTTTGTACTGAGAATACTATATCAGGCCTTGTTAAAGTCAAATACAATTATCTTTCAATGACTTTTTGATATTGTCCTACACAGAGGCGAATCCAGGATTTCAAGAAAACGGGTGCACCATTGCTTTAGAATTTCATTTTTTTTTTTGAAAAAACGAGTGTAGTAGTTACTAAAAAAATTTGAAGTGAATTGTGGCTGGTTGGGATTGAACTCAGGACCTTGGTGTTAAAATCTGGCTGTCAAACCAGTGAACCATCTAGCAACTTTAAGAACGGGTTCAACAAGTGTTTATTTAATATGTTCTTTAATAATTATACAAGTAATATATCGAGTTTAGTCGGAGGACCACGGGTTCGGATGACCCAAATTTTATACATAAATTCGCCACTGGTCCTACATCTTCTAACATATCACCATCTTCTTTTCCAGTAAGCCTATCTAGCTCAATCACTGTTAACTTTTCATTCATTTCTGATGGTGTCCATGCTGGTTTAGCTCCCCCAGTCATGTTTGTGAGATTAATGTGTATTTCCTTTGATTCATCAATATTCCTTTCTTTGATATGCTAAACTCCATCCCGAGAAAATATTTTAGATTTTCCAAATCTTTGATCTTGAATGCTTTGTGTAACTCTTCTTTGGTCCTTCTGATCAATTCCAAATTATTTCATGTCACCAACATATCATCCACGTAAATAAGGATGACCACTATGCTATCACCTTCTCTTTTTATGAACAATGAATTATCCAATTTGCTCTATTGAAATTGAGAATGCAATAAGGCTTATGTTAGCTTCACATTCCATTGTCTATTTGCTTGCTTGAGACCATACATGGATTTAACAAGTCTACACACTATGCCAGACTCTCTCTGACTTGGAAAACCCTGAGGCAACTGCATATACACTTCATCATGAAGATCTCCATGAAGAAAATCATTATATACATCAAGTTGATGGATATGCCAGTCATGCTGAGCAGCTATAGATAGAATAGTTCTCACAGTAGCAATCTTAACAACTGAAGAAAATGTCTCATTGTAACAAAGACCTTCCCTTTGATTATACCTTTTTGCCACAAGACGAGCCTTAAACCTCTCTATGTCACCATTGGACTAAGGCTTGACTTTATAGACCCACTTGCAACCTATAGGTTGCTTCCAGGAGGGAAGTGTACCAGTTCCCAAGTATAATTATCTTGCAATGCTTTTATCTTAATATCCATAGCTTCTATCCAACGTGGGTCCTGTGATGCCCTTTGATAAGAAGATGGTTCAACCACAGTGTTCAACATACTCAAAAAACTGTGATGTGAAGTTGACAAGCCTTTATAAGAGACATAATCTCTGATGGGATATTGCACAGAATTACTAGATGGTGTAGTCACATAATATGTCATCCAAAGAGGTCTAGATGACAGTTTTTAAGACCTTCTTGGAGGATTAAAATAACTGTCAACTAAAGGTGCAACATGGACATCCTGTACAGGAATTGCCACTAGAGTAGGCACATGAGAGGCATTAGGAGGGAAACCAGGTACATGAGGAGTTGAATTAGGACAAGTGAGTATATCAGGATGAGTGTCAAAAGTAGAAGGATCATATGAAGGGTCAAAACCAGTATCAGAAGAACAAGCACCATCAGATGCAGAAGAATTTTGAAAGGGAAATGTGAACTCTCTGAACACCATATCCCTTTTCACAAAAACTTTTGTTTTGCTATGTCAAAAATGATATAACCTTTAGTGACAGATGAGTGACCCATGAAAATAGCTTGTACAACTCTACTTGCAAACTTATCAGCCTTGGGTAAAAAACTTGCATAACACAAGCATCCAAGAGTCCTAAGGTGATCTAAACGTGGCTTCTTGTAAACAACATTTCATAAGAATATTTTCCTTGTAAAACAACTGATGGCAGCCTGTTAATAATATATGCAGATGTGAGAACACAGTGACCCCAAAAGGTAATAGGAATGTGACCTTGAAACTTAAGAGCTCTTGCTAACTCTAGCAAGTGTCTATGTTTCCTTTCAGCAACTCCATTTTGCTGAGGGGTATAAACACAAGTTTTCTGGTGAATAATCCCCAAATCTTTAAACTATTCAGCTAAATCAGAATTCACAAACTCCCCACCATTGTCTGATCTCACAGTCTGAATATCAACTTTAAACTGTGTTTGCAACATCTTGAAGAAAGATCTTAAAATAGATAATACATCATTTTTTAACTTCATAAGAAATACCCAAGTGACACGAGTGAAATCATCAACAACAATAAGGAAGTATTTATTTCCATCAAAAGTAGGACTGTTATAAGGTCCCCATACATCCATATGCAACAGTTGGAAAGCCTTACATGATTTTTTATCACTACAAGGAAAAACTAATCTGGTGTGTCTAGCTAAGGGGCACACATTACAATTCTCCATAACATCTTTACAGTCACCTAATTTGCAACCTAGTAGCTCATTCATAGTTATGCTTGAAGCATGTCCCAATCTCTTATGCCACAACAATAAGTCTGTCTTATTCAGTTGATCAGTACACTGCATATTTGTGATTGTATTACCTGCAATTGCTCTTTTGGTAGAATTCTTAGAGTTCAAGAAGTGTAGGCTATCCTTCTCTCTACCAATCCCCTTCACTTTCCTATTGGAAAGGTCCTAGAACAAACAGAAGTCAGGATAGAATGACACAAAACAACTCAATTCCCTAGTTAGCTTTGACACTGATAGCAGGTTATACTTAAAATCTGGAATAAAAAATACATTATTGATTTCATCTGTATCTGTAAGCTTGCATTTCCCTGTATGTGAAACTAAAGTCACTCCTCCATTTGGCAAATATGCCTTCTCACATTCCTCTGGATTAATAACCCTAACATCAGACAAGTTATCCAGATGTGCAGTCATGTGATTGGATGCCCCTCTATCAATTATCCATTTCTCTTGCTCTATATTAGCCATAAAAAAATGGATCATACCTGCCATATCGACATGAGATTTTTTTTCATCCAGCATGTTTACTATCTGGTCATATTGTCCACTGTTAAATTGTGGTGTTTGCATATTCCCATCATTGGATCCATTTCCTGTCATCCCTGCATCTCTCTTTGTTTGAACATTATATGATGTGTTCCCCTATCCTGATTTCTTCTTATTTTTGAAATGATTAGGAGGGTATCCTATAAGACGATAACAGTTGAGCTTGGTGTGTCCCTTCAAATGACAAAAGTCACATTATATCTCTCAATTCCTTTGTGGTTTCTGATAACCATCTCCTTTACCAGCTAAAAGCGCATCCACTTCAGTTCCCTGTCCTACCATGGATGTGCTGGCCATAGTGCGTTGGCTTTCCCTTTCAATAAGCATGGAGGAAGCTTTGTTGATACTAGGTGTAGGGCTAGTCATGAGAATTTGGCTTCTCGCCTGATCATAGGATTCACTAAGTCCCATCAGAAATTGCATCAACTTCTGGCTCTCCATATGCGCAATAAAATCCTTGGATCTAGGACAATCACAAGGATTAGGAACCATGCTGCCAAATTTGACCCACAGATCTCGAAGCTTTGAGAAATAGGTCAAAATATTTTTTGAACCTTGCGTAATTGTTGTTATTCCTTTGTGCAGCTGATAGACTCGTGATGCATTGACCTTGTCAAAATGCTCCCTGAGATCTTCCCAGACTACTCTGGCATCTTTAGCATATAGTATTCCTGTAAGTAACTCATTTGCTACTGAGCTCATAATCCATCCCACTATAATTGCATTGCAGCGATTCCATTGATGACTAAGTTCCTTATCAAATTTGTCCATACTTAAAGTATCGTCGACCAATCCCAACTCGTTCTTTCCTAACAACTGAATTCGCATCGCACGGCTCCATAGTGAGTAATTCTCTGACCCTGTCAATTGTATCGAGATGATAGAAACTCCAGTAGTGTCTGAAGGATGAAGATGATCAATTTCAGTTTTAGACACTGTTAGAGATCGAATCAACAGAAAACACAACAAATTACAGAAATCTACACAAATTAGGCAAGATCTAACTCATAATCATGAGTTCAAGCTCTGATACCATGTTGAATTATTGATAATCTGTGACCTAATCTATGCAGAGAAGATGAAGATTCATCACTTTAGAGAGAAAACTGTAATTGTGTGTATTGAATTAATTAACCCACATGAATTGTTACATCATATTTATAATGTGATAAAGACTAACTAACTACCTATCACGTCTCAGCTAAGATGCTAATAACAACTTCTAACTAACTTGATAAACGACTAACTAACTAAATCTTTATATTTACATCAATGCCCTCTTGTATATGTATCAACCTATTCCCATTTCTTCAGGAGGCACAATAGGAGGGTAAGAAAAGCAAGTGCGATGATTGCATGCAAGTGTGATGATTGCATGCAAGTGCGATGATTGCATCGATTGAATTTTGAGATCCAGGAATATTTTTTATTTGATCGATGAGATCGCAATACATAGAAAACAATGCTCTATCCATTTGTAAATACAATTCTTCGATTTTTCAAATTTGACATGGTCCTAATGATTTCAATTATCTCATTAACTCCATGAGTGATTTGATATTTCTAGTTTAGAGTTACTGATACATTGTTATTGTTGTTTTATCAAGTAATTTATACGGACCACATGTGTATTGTTATATATATGTTACAAAATTTATTGAAGTGATAATAAATGATGATCCTAAGTCTTTAGCAGTGATATTTATCGCTAAAAATAGTGAATTTTTTTAAGTGTATGTACGTGCTTATAGTTTATAGCTTTGTACGAAAAGAGTAAGTATCTTATTATATAACTTAAAAAATAGTCTTTCAAGTTAATAAAATATTAGTCATGTGTTGCAATACAATACTTTGGTTCTTGTTCTTAAAAATTTCATTGATAGATAATATAGTTTAAATAGTTTAATTCAAAGTTTGAAAATATTAGACAAATTTCTACTGTCATTTCAATTAAAAACTTAAAATTTTTAAAAGAAAATTTACTGTATCCCTAATGTCATGATTATATAAGGAAAATAATTAACTTTTGTAAATATTAATTATAACTTTCTAATGCATATGGTAGTAATTTTCTAGTGGTTATAAAAAGACTTTTGTTGAAGAATTAAAATTAATGGTAACTTGAGATATTAAAATAAGGACTTTATAATATGGAAAGAATAATGCATTCTTATGTTATTATACAAGAAATATTTTTTAAAAATTATCTTGAAAATAGTATTGAAATCTACGTAATATATATTTTTTCTAGTTATCATCAATAGAAGGTTTTTTTTTCCTTAAGATTTTAGTTTGGATTGTTCAAATGAGTGTGGAAATAGGGTTAAGTTTCTATTTCTCATTAATTAGTGCATATATCTATACCCCATCAAATTTGATTATCTTTTTGTTCTCGTACCTTGTTGTTTATGACCGTTTTATATATTCCCTTCATTTAATTTGTTTGATTGATAATTTAGAAAAATAAGAAAACTTTTGATTAAAAATTACAATTAATTATAACTTGAGATATTGAGATAAAAAATTGATAACATAATAAGAATAATGCATTTTTATGTAGTCATACAAGAAAATAAAAAAAGTATACTTAAAAGACTTGAAAATGTCAAGTGTTGTTTAGTTTTGCAATCTAAAACATGTCATATAGATGGTAGGAGATAACGAGTTGCCAAAAAAAGAAAGGAACTTTTTTTTATACGGACTAATAAGGAAAGTACGACAAACAAATTAAAACAATTGGAATATTATTTTAAACTCAACTTTCTTAAATCAATTGTTTTAACTAAAAAGGGTAAAAAAAACGTCTTAAATTATTCAAAATTGTCTCCGGTTAACAATTTTTGGTCCAAAAACACCACATCACTTCTTTAAACACCTTCTTTTCGATAAAAATATTGTAACTTATCATTAATTTTCACGCGTATATATATATATATATATATATATATCATAATAATCAATCATTAGTTTGGGCTACTCATCATTTGGGCTTTAGTAGTACATGGGCTAAACTTTTTGAATGGTCCATCCAGCTACTCATAAGTCAAAGCCCAAATAAAGTTATCATTAATATGTTTATTACGGATTGTCAGATTTGTTGTATAATGTACGAGAATATATGAATTCAGTAATTTTGATTCAAACTATATAATATGTATGCACATTACAGGTATTCTGTTTTTTTAAAAATAAAAATAAACACACCAAACAATACACTTAGATAATTTTATTTTATATGTAAAAATGATAATTTCTTGTAAAATAAACATAAAATTAAGATAAATTTGTAAAGAATTACAAAATTAATTGAAAGTTCTAATTTTATTTTCTTGTAATCTGATGTGGAGTTAGATATTTGTAAAAGTGCTATAGATATTAGATGAATGGTAGGTAGGTAACATTAATTGTTTGTGCAGATGTCTTCAATGGGGAAAAAAAAGTGATGTGTAACCCTACAATACAAATATAGCCTTAAATTTATTTATTTTTTTATTTTTTTTAGCCTTAAAATTCGATATTCAATGGGCAGGAAAAATTTATTATCGTAGCTTAAGATTTATTTTGCCAACATATTTCAATTAAACTAAACACAAGTTAGTCGTCGTAGAAAATATGATTTAAATGTTTAATTATTGTTAATTAAATTCTATTCACTTATTTACGTTACATGACCTACTGATCAGATCACAAGTTTGTCTTCTTCTTTTTTTCTTGTGAGACGAAAAGAGAATATGTCACAATTCAAGTTCATAACACATTATTATATTATATTTTTTTTTAAAAAAAAAAACCCAGGGGAAGGGGTGGGGGGTGGGGGAGAGGGACTTTTCAATTGAACTACTCCCTACATGTTTTGACCTAATAGGCTGCACGGATTTGCCTTTTTATACATCAATGAACTCATAAAATATGTGTATCATGTGAACTTATGATATGTCTTATAAAGTTATTTAATTTCCTCTCTCATCCCAATATTGACATCAACTTAAGAGATATATCACGTAACACTTTATCTTTTTCATCAAACGGTTGTCAACCTAAAAGGTTGTCAATCATTCTTTGAAACTCACCTTCAATCATGGGCGTCACATACATCCTCTCCCTCCTTAAGGACTCACGAGTGTTCTCGCTGAAGTTTATCTCATCATCATACTAAAATAGTGTACATTCAATTCTAATATTATATTTGTCACAATTCAAATCTATGACACGTATTATCTGCATTTACACAAAAAAAAAATCATAGATTTGCCCTTTGCGTACTATATCGAGTCTAAAAGCATTTGTATCATGTGAATTGTAATTCGCCTTATTGAGCTTTCACTCCTCTCTCATTCCAATATATAATTCATCTAAGATATCATGTGCATCTTTTCTTCGAAGTCTTGCCAACTTAAAAACCCAAGAGTCTTTTTCTATGACCTAGTTTTATCTATCCACACTCCATCATGAACATCACAAAATGTTTCATTAAATTATTTATTAGAGATTACATAATAAGAAGAAAACAACTTGCAACTCCATTTTAGATTACTTATTATTTTAATTTAGGGTTTGTTCAGCATGGAGGAATTTTTTCTTAAGAGAGCGTTTTTTTAAAATTTGTCACGTTTAATTGGTCAAAAGTTTTAAAAATATTTTCTTTAATTAGGAAAATGAGTTCATTAAGATAAGATAAATAACTTTCCTATTGGAAGTAAGGAAACTAAGCTCCACATGTGACATTCCGCATTGATTCTGTCCTCCTTACTTTGCAACACATCTTATCTTCACCCTAAAGGCGTAATCCCGATAAGCAGTGACGGAGCCAGAAATGTTATTAAGGGTGTCCAAGAAAAATGATGTGTGGCTGTCAAAATAAATAAATAAAAAAAGATATTGTGCTATTTGCAGTTTGAATTTGGAACTCCATACAAATGGGCATTGATTACCATTGTGCCTAAGGCATAGCTTTTGTCAAAGGTGTCAAACTTTAAATATATATCATTTAAATGTAAAATTTGACACACACACACACACAAATAAATAAATAAATAAATAAATATATAACATAATTTCCGACGAAGAGTGTCCAATTGGACACCCTATGGTGGCTCTAACTAATCCACTGTTGATAACCACCATCCCCATCCCACCACTACCACCACCCTACCTTCAATAATATTTAGATATCGAACAGAAGAAATAAGTCAAAAATTCACTTATTTTCACGAAAATATAAATCTAGTACCAAACACACTTCATTTTTATACCAAATGCGACATAGATATTACCTTTTACATATACCAAATGCATTTTTTCTAAAATAATAATTATTATTTATCCTTTAAGAATCCTCAAAATCTATAAGTGGGATGTTTTCATATCAAACTTGACCTTTCACAAATCTAATTGGCAGCAACTATTAGTATTATTTTCCAAACAAAAAGAGAATCTTTTTTTACACATAACACGCCTAAGATGAGTTGACAACTGCCAATTTAATTTTACTTAGTGGAGAAATCACTTTTAATATGCCTTAATAATCACTTCCATGTCCATCTTTTACTAATTTTTCAACCTTATAATAAATAAAAAGTAAATCTTATTAATTTCTTTTTTAGATTGTCTTCCTCAAAACCATCATAACAAAATCAATTATTACAAAATAATATTACTATTCTTTTTGAACTTTTTTTAGTAAAGTGTAATATATCCATTATCTTATGTAGTTGGTTTTTGGAAATAATATCCTAATTTCTTGGACTAAAAAAAGCATCAATTCCTTTAAATTAAAAATGGAAACCACATAATCCTATTGAGTAGACAGCCAAAAACATAAACTCTTTTAGCCAGTAAAATCAAAGATAAGAGCTATGTGGACAATTATTTAACTATTTACACGTATTTAAAACATTTGCTTCCATTTTTTTATTGAAAAAATAGTACGTTTTGTGATCTTGAAGAGATTTCAATAGTTGGTACTTATCATTATGTATTGATCAATCATTATTCATTTATTTAGTTTCGTTTCGGTATCTGGTATTGATATTAGAG